GACACACCAAAAAAAGTTTTTTCTATTTTTAATTTTATGAACTTTATTTTTTTTTATTTGTTTGCATTTTTAATTTTTATTTATTTAACTTTTTGTTTACTTTTTTGTACATTTTTTTGTCTTTTTAATTTAATTTTTTCATTTAAAAAAAAAATCTTTTTTTTATTTTAATGCTTTGAGCAATAGCCAGCCTGCTATTGGATATTTCAAACTGCAATAGCCAAAAGCAAGCTGGCTATTGCATCTGCCTACAGTCAACCAGCAGAGGAGGGGCCTGAAGGAGAAAGTTCTCTATCAGGTCCTCCCATGCTGATTGACAGCAGTCAGTGGGTGGGTGCAATAGCCAGCTTGCTATTGCATTTTACAATATCCAATAGCAGGCTGGGTATGGCTCCCAGTCTGCAGATGAAGAGGAGGCAGGGGGGCGGGGCCGAGGAGCCGCGGCCGGACGGGGGAGCGGAGGATCGGCCAGAACGGGGAAGAGAAGCTGACGGACCGGGGAAAGAAGAGGCCGGGACAGCAGCGGAGGTACGAGGGGCAGCGGACAATGCAGCGGTCTGTGTCCCCAACACAGGCGGGGAGAGCAGCACGGATTTGAAGAGACACAGGCCGCTGCAGCCACAGTTCTCCTAAACTGCCGGTACATTTAGGAGAACTGTGGACCCTGGTTCGTAAGTACGGATTGTCCGTAAGTCGGCCATCCGTAACCTGGGGACTGCCTGTACATTGTGAGAAGAAGTTCACAGTGTGCAATGAAATCAGAATAAGCAATTTCAGTCCAAGTGAAGAGCCTGTACAACTATGCAAGACAGAATGTAATGCTGGAGTTCAGTTTTAATGTAAACTGCGGATTATAAAATATTGAAAATGATTTTTAAATTAACATGTTAAGCTCATATGAGATTATAGTGATTGGATTGAAACAGAAAGAGAAACAAAATGTACATGACAAACATATTAAAGATTCAGCCCATGCCAGTCCAGCAGTGCATTAAAGTGACACTAAACTCAGGAGTTAAATCTTAAAAATGTATTCAAATACCTTAATAACAAAAATGTATCTTATTTGTGCATCACTCAGTGTGCAATTGCAGTGTGCTCCGGAGCGGTAGCTGCTGGAATGCACAGCAATCGCTCACAAAACATCCCCCCTCATTCTGGGGTGGGATGGGGCCTCGCAATGCATTGAAGTCAATGGCACCACAGCCACGCCCTGTGGCCGCAGTGCGATCAACTGCACGGGAACGCGTGGCACATCAGTGCCTGAATTCTTGTCCAGTCATAAAAAATGTTGCATGGACAACTTTTTCTGAACGCACCGAGGCATTGATGTGCGTGTTGCGGTGCAGGTGATTGCACTACGGCCGGAGGCAAAACATTTCCTGCGTTTCGTTCCACTGCAAACACAAATAAATGCTGCATGCTCTATTTTTCCCATTTGCAGTGGACCTGAACGCAGGCAATGTTTTGCCACGCATCCGATCGCACTGCGGGTGGGCCGTGTGGCTGCGGTGCCAACTTAGAACTCCAACCAGTCACTGGGACAGGCAGCAAAAGGAAATCTATTCAATCAGGACAAAGATAATAACAAAAAGCCCTAACCTTCCCCAAGCTATAAAAAAATAAATGGTTGGAGTTTCACTTTAAACTGCGACTGTGCCTAGATCAACAATTCTTTTTGAAGAAATAATTACTGTATGCCTAAGAGCAGACAACAAAAAATGCCTGTAGAGAGATGGCAATGAAAATCCCCTGGAACCATGTTCTATGAACTTAGTAGGAAAGCATGAAGTAGCACACCAATGACATCAGGTCATATCCTACTTTATTAAACCCAGACAAAGAGTGCTGCAGCCCCGCCTAGGACCACTCCTCTCTAACGTTTTACCCAATACGGGCTTGGTCATAGAGATCAATCACAAGATTCCTGTTACTTTTATAAGCTAGAAAAGTTATTTATTTATGTGCTCCTTTCTGATTTAGTTTCATTTTGTGACTGACTTCCCTGGCTTCATGGCTACGCCCTGCCAACTGCAAGCCTCCTGTCCAATGAGACTGACACTCTCATTAGACAGTTGGGTGGCATGTCTACATAACCTGAATGTTTTGTAAAACTCAATAAAAATGACTGAACAGACAGTGGGGCGGCACTTGGCAGGGCATAGCCTTGAAGGAATTTTGGACCGCAGTAATCAAGTGGAAACACAGGAGAGGTTTTTCTCACTACTATGTGTTATAGTGGGCACTCATAGGCAGGACTTTTACTTCCTTTTAAATGGAATTTGGGAGGAAAAAAACAAACAGAAAAGTGTAGAATTTATAAAAACAGCAACCAGTGGCAGCCCCTGTTATATTTTACCAGAGATTACAGATAAAACCTAAACTTGTCACATTGGCCACCTTACTTTAGTTTTTTTTCCCATTATAAAGTGACTATATTTTTGTAGAAAACAAATGGATAAAGAGGTTTCACACATTCTTCATTACACATGTCTACTGAAATTTAGAAGCTGTCTTGCTGTAGTCAGCTTGATTCTGATTGATAGTTCAGCTTTATTAAGTCTCTCCTAAGCTCTGATGATTGTTTGCTTCTGCCTGCTGCTGGGTAGTGTCACTGATTACTGCATCCTGCTTGATTATTACCAGAGTTAGGACTGTTGATACCTCTCTGGCCAACCACTAGGAGGTTTGTTACCAGTGGTGCATGCTGGGAGAGGGTAGTCAGTCTTTCCCCTGGGCTACTGGATTTTGTGGATTGTCTGATCCTCCAAGGCCTGCTCCCGGAGGAGGGTGACCATGTGCTAGTACTGAGGCCTAGTGTGTTAGTTGCAGGGATGGAAATGCCATG